CCTTCGGGACCCCCAAAGCAGCCCATGGGCGCCCCTAGAGCAGCCCATGGAGCAGAGCCAGGTCCTACTGCAGCCCCAGGCAGGCAGCAAGGGGCTCCCTGTTGCTCCAGGGGGATCCTTTCCCATTTTTCAGCCTAAGGGGACAGGGTGAGGGCAGCAGGTTGGTCGGGGGGGTGTGGGCAGCCAGGCAGACACACTGGGAGCTGTTATCATACTTTAGGGCTCATGTCATCCCTTCTCCAAAGATCACACGTGCCCAGCAAGGCCGGAGGTGGAGCACAGGCTACCAAAACAAGGGCTGTGAGATCATCTCCTCCCCCCGGGCTGCCTGGCTCAGAGCTTTGTGCTGAGACCATCGCCCTGACGTCGTGTAAAATAGGGAACACATGGCAGGTACAAGTGCCTGTTGCTTCAGTTATCATCTTTCTGTGGGTCCTCAGCCGGGCTGCTGCTGTGGGGTGGCTTGCAGAGGCTTCAATCCTCTCCTTAATTTTGAAAAGTTGGAGGTTTTTTGCATAAAACACCTCCCTCTGCAGATCCCAAGCAGCAGGGTAGGTGGCATTAGCACTTGGGTGCTTAATTATCCTCCCTGCACACAAACGAGTCTCTGGGAACTGTGGCTGCTGGAAATGAGGCAGGAAGATGTTGCCACACTGGCCTGTGCCACCTTCCAGCTGGGACATCAGGGCTGAGCCAAGGGAAAACACCTCTTGGATACTGATGCCCTGTTACCACGTGCAGGAACTTCATCAAATATTGAAAAATCAATGGGCCACTGTAAGGGAAACAGCACTGAGTGTGTTGCATGAAAACAGCCTTGAGGAACAGAGAAAAAAAAAAAAAGCTAAAAATAAAATTAATCTCTTGCAGAGCTGTAAGATTCTCTTCTCACCCCTTCCCCTTGTGCTGCAATCTTTTATGTCATTTTCTTTAATTACAGCTAGTTTAGATCTTGCTGCCTGGAGAAGCCTGGCTGGAGTTAGTAATAAATTGGGCTTCTGGATGATACAAGAGAAAATAATAACCCCCAAGGACTAAACATCTGTCCACAAGGAGCACACACAATGTTATAATTAATATTAATGACTAATAGTTCATATAGAATGAAACTTTTGCTTTACAGTTCACCTAGTAAACCCAGCCTGCAAGTCTCAGACAGAGCTATTTCCTGTGCCAGGAGCTGGACTCTGCCCAGGCAGGAGCCCCCGTGGCTCTGGCAAGGATGGTGAGGGGGGGGCTGCTGCAGGCTCAGCTCTTGGTAATTAAGCAGTTGGGGTGTCCCACCCACACGTGGCCCCTCACAGCTCCCAGGGAAGGAAAGTCTCTGCTCACTTTCCTTTGCCCATTTGATTTCAGATCATGAATTAATTACCTGCTCCTGCCTATTTCTGCTGCCCTGCCTTCTGTGTTTCTTCTTCTAACCACAGAGAACCCAGAGGAATAGAAACAGATGCTGGGAACCTCACCTGAGCTGCTCCACAGACCCTTAAACATGCCCCACTTGTCACTCCTGGGAAAGGGACACACAGCAGCTCAGGAGTGGGCCCAGAACCATGTGGGTAAATCCCTGTGACAGGGCTGCTGGAGCAGACCCCCTCCCTGTGCACACTTGCCTGGGGGTCTTTTTGTCCTTTAACCCTCATATTGGGTCTGGGATGGCTGATTAAAGGCCCAGGACAGATGAGGTGCAGCAGCTCACACAACAGGCACACACACAACATGCAGCAGCCTTCTCATGTGTCCACTCTGACATAATTTTTCAGATGTTGGAAATACAGATGATTTTAGCCTGGGTCCATCTGGTTTCCCAAATAACCTGTCTGTTTGATAAATAACACAAATTAAATTAGACAAGACAAACAAATAGTTTTTTTCTTCTCTCCCTTTCAGTCTCTTGGCAAAAAGGAAAAAAAGGAAAAGAAAACATAATTCAGTGATTGCCTGGAGCCCCCAGGAGCCCTGTGCTGGTGAGAGCTATGATTATAAACGTGTCTGCCATCTTAACCTTTAACACATACCCAAGGCCCTTCCTTCCTTAGTGTTTAAGGTTTTTTTCTAATTTCTTCACTATCATTTAGGTTCCTAAAAGCTGCTCCTCTCTGCACACTCAGCAGTGACACTGCACAGGATCAGCTCAGAGCCCAAAGGCTTTGCTCCTCCTGTGGGTAAGGGAAACTGAGGCACAGAGACATGCAGCTGCCTCCTGGGATGGAAGCCCCAAGTCCTACCACAGGGAAGCCACTTCTGTGCCTCATGCAGAGCCCAAAGCATCATCCATCCCAACTCTCAGCTGTGCCTGCTGGAGGTCAGCCCAAGGGAAGGCCAGAGGGGGCAGAGGCAGCAGCTCTTCCTGCTGCCCAGGCTGGTCCCTGTGCTAGTGGAGGAGCACAAGTGCCCCAGGCTGGGCACAGCACCCACATCTCCACCCTGTTCCACTCCTGGTCAGTCCCTCCTTCCCAGCCCTGACATGCTTGGTGCTTTCAGCAACAAGGGGGGTTTCTCCCAGTTAGCAGAGCCTGGGGGGTGAGCAGAATCAATACTTGAAAATGAGAGGCTGGAGCTGCAGGGATGTGCCAGACAGGAGGGAGGGCAGCCCAGGGATGAGGGACACAAGCAGGAGTGGGGAGAGAGTCAGGCCATGACCTGGTACCCTCCTCCCCACTGGGCAGAGCCAGCACAATCACCATCATCCTCTCCATACATCTTCAGCCCCTCCTGCCATGGGGGTGTCAGCTCCTGCAGGACTCATCCCCAGCACAGAAATTTCAGGGGTAGCAGGTCTCACCAGCAGCAAACCCTGAACCCCTGCTAAGTGCTGCTGGGGGAAGTGTTTACTCTGACCAGAAGCAGCCAGAAATCTTCCTGGGCCATGTATTTCAATTTCTAAGCTTTTCAGGACCAGCACTCTTCTCCTCTTGGCTCCAGAAGGAGCAAAACATATTTTGAAGGGAAAATTCTAAAGGGGAAGTTAAACAAATACCATGGCTGTGGCTAGGACATGGTGAGCAGAGCCCAGGAAGACCACCCTCTAAAGGTGTTCCTCAAGCTACTGCCTCATTTTTGCATTAAAAGGTAATTACAGGTCTAGATACATTTAATCTTTTGCAACTCCACAGAGCATGGCAAACTAAGAATTTCCCCTGGAGTCCAGAGCATAGTTTGAGCTGTTTGAGCTTTGACCCTTTGCTAGAGGAAAGGCATTCTCTTGCTGCTCTCTAGTGGCAGCACAATTAGCCATGTTAAGAGATGCTGAATTTTACAGCTTCCAGTGTTTTTGTCCAGTAAATCTGTGCTGAATTAGTGTAACTGACAAATCAGTGCAAAGACCATGGCAGAGAATTAACTGGACATTCAGCTGTGTTGTTCTTCCAGAAACATCTGACCAATGACTTTGCCTCCTTCTTTCTCCTCCTTAAACCTCCCATCCCAGGTATTGATTCTTAGAATGGCTGGATAAAGGAAGTTTTGTCTAGGAACTGAAAACAAAAACTATTAAAGCAGTAGAAAGAAACAGTCTCAGGGTCAAGAAATTGGTGCAAAACCAAAGAGGAAGACCTGGGGACCTGAGCATTTACACTCCCATAAACACAGGGGGGTTGTTTTTCTTGTATTCCAATATTATTGCAGTTGTTCCTAGTGAGTGGCTGAGCTGTGGCTACAAAACAAAAGCAGCAATAAAAAATGGACAGAGATAGACAAATATTTAGGAAAAAGCCCACAACATACACACAACTGAGGAAAATACTGTAAATTAATTCCAACAGCCTCCAAAATTAAAAACCTTTTATTGTAAAGTTGCCCTCCAATTAGTACCATATTTATAAACATAATATACAGTAAAATATTTTACATGTAGCACACCAGGCTTATGTTTATGATGTTACAAAATGTACAGTTCAGGATGCTGCTCCCACAGAGGCAGCAAATACAGGACATGGAGCCCTGGGAGGATGTTCAGTCCTACAGAGAAGGACTTACCCTTTTTGGGTCTCTACTGTAACACATTTAACATGTAATCAGAAATGCTGTATATTCTGTCTCAAGTTTCTTTCAAACTATTTAGAATAGTTGTGAATGATGGATCCTTATGATCCAATTTCCTCCTTCCAGAGAAGGCCTTTCATGACTGGCTGCTCAGAAAGGGTTGGTTTCTCTTGGGTGAGTGAAGCTTGCTTGACAAAAAATGGAATGAAGGATTTAAGAGAGGCTTCAGTTGGGTAAAACAATTAATTTCCCCTCCCCCCAAAGCAAATAAAAAACCTGTCACCCTTTTTCTTCTCCCACATCTGTTACATTCTTCTCTGTCTCCACACACATTCATACACATGTGTAAGAATGGAATAAAAACCTGGAAAGAAAACCTTATCATATTGCCTCATAAAAGCTTGGGACCTTTTTCAGAAGTCTACATTTCAAATATAAATTAGAGCTTCTTAAAATGTCAAGCTAATAAATACTTAACATGAGAGAAAAGAAGGCCCTGGGGGAAGCCACAGGTACCTTTGTACTGCAGGTGTAAACAAGACTGTTCTGGCACAGTATCACTGCTCCCTCCTTCCCCACAGCTGCAGAAATCCCTCCTTCCTGTGCTCTGAGCTGTCTGCAGCACTGCTGGGTCACAGTGGTGTTCCCAGACAGCACAGACACATGTGACCCTGTGAGGACAACATACAGTAGTGTAAGTTCCCTTAATGCTTGGGGAAGCCCAAGGTGTGACCCTGTGAGGACAACATACAGTAAGTTCCCTTAATGCTTGGGGAAGCCCAAGTGAGCATTTCATTCCAAACCAAGCATGGATTTTGTGCTCTCATTTGCCACGGAGCACTAAGAGCAAACAAAGGGGAATAAAGACCATTGCCTGGAAATGACTGGAACTCGTGAATTAAGAGGCAGCAGGAGAACATGCAGCAATCTGGTGACCTTCCTGATGACTGCTGGTAGCTTTTTCAAACAAACCACAATTGGCAAAGAGATAAGATCCAACCTCTAAACAGGAACATTCAGCTCTCCAAGTACTGGAATATGCTTCGGCTCTGACTGGTCTCCTCTGTGCTGTCCACCCTGGGCCGCTTGGCCAGAGGTGTTACTGCTGCAGCAGGACCTCTCTTCCTCACCTACAGGGGAGCAGGACACATTGGAATATACAAAATCTCCTGAATTATCAGAGAATTATCTGCAGGGAGAGCACAAACCAGGAAATCATAGGGAATATTTAAACCAGGCAGTGCTGAGGGCCTGTGTGTCCAAACAACCCCCACAAGTGGCAGCACATTCCACACAAATCTTTACCTGCAGTTTTGATTTCTCCTTTGCCTCTTCACTTTTGTCTGGGGAAAGTGTATGAAAGACAAAATTCCTTGAATTTCGAGGTGCATTGGGATTAAGATCCGACATGGCTGCGAGCTTCTGCAGGACAGCTCTGGGTCTGCTCAAGAGGGACCCACTTTTTATCTGAAGAGCAAAGAAACAGCATTAAAGCAGCTCACACAAGCAAGTCAGCCCTTTTGGTAGGTTACTCCTAAGAGAAAAATTGCTCCCTGCTAAAATGTTACTCAGAGCATGCAAACCAGGACCCAGGGGAGCTGCCCTGGCCAGGCTCTACAGCTGCAGCCTGGAAATACCATTTTCAGAACCATCACCAACCTGGATGTCACTGGCAGGTCTGAAGGTTTCAAATGGGTTCCTGGGCAACAGAGTTGTGTCTTGCACCACCACTGCTGGGCTGGCTGGCAGAGACAAAGAGGGAAATGCCAGTTTCTGAACTTCATTTGAAAAAAGATATGATTTTATATCAAACTGAAAACTGATGACAGTAAATACTGCAGGGAAAAACAGAATCTGCCTCAAACTACTATGAGCCAAACAACTGACAGATGACTCTGGCAATTAGTTCATTCAGAAGGGGAAATTTGGTTTTGAACAGTTCTGCACACGTGGAGTCATCTTTTCATCACAGCCAAGGAAAATTTACATTTATTTTCATCACCACATGACAGTTCTTCCTTAAGTCACAGATATTTGGAGAAACTGCTAGGCTGAATGTCACTTACAGCCCCCTTCTCTGAGACTTAAAGGCAAGCAAAGGAAGAGTAAAAGACTAGAAGATGCAGAGGAATTTATTTCCACAACTTTTTTTTCAAAAAGTAATATGTTGTTTTATTAAGTAAAAACACAGTTGCCACTGACCTTGACCTTGCAAACTGCATGTTTTCAATGCTTTTATAACCTTAGCTTTTCAAGTCTGGAAGACATGAAGCTTGGACTGGTGTCAGGAAACCCAACAGTGGGGTTTTCTGATCTGGGCCTGCTTTACTGGAGACCACAAGTGACAACTGGAAGTTAAACTTTCTCTTACTTGCTTACCTTTCCTCTCTAGAGACTTGGCAGTTACTTTTTTTGCTAGTTTCATGAATTGGCTGTCTTCACCAATTTCTTCCTCCTCCTCCTGCTCTATATTCTTTTCCTTCTGCAGCAGAGAGAAAATACTTTGTAAAACTGAAAGTTCGTGTCGAGAACAAGCATTTCATGCAATGTTTTAAGTAGAACAAGTCTTTCAATTAGGTAAATTAATATGCTCATTTTTATTTACTTTCTATTGTAAAAGTTCATTGTAATTTCTTGGATATTTTATCATCCTCATTCTGACTTGTTTCAGAACACAGCTGGTTTTGCCCCTCACTTCTAAATTAGCTCCTCTCTGTGCAACACTTGCAGAAGGGAAATTGCAGAATTAGGGAAACAGCAGAACTGACAATGAAAAACAAAGATCCATTTATGAATGGCATTTTTTCCAGAGTTTAACTCGAGAAAACAAGCCTCACATCTAGCCACAGCACACAGGAAGGCTGAGCAAGGCCCCTGGCTTGCAGGCAACCGATACCTGCTCCCGCAGCCACTGCTCCCGCTCAAATCGCTCCTTCCTCCATTTTGCTTCTGTCTCATCAAACTGTTCATTTTCATCATCATTATCTGAATCTCTCTGAAACAAGTCCATCTGGGAAGCATAATCTAGACAAAGAAAAAATAATTAGTTATCAATTTTAAGAAAGCCATAAAAAACCCAAACCCAGAACACTAAAACCCTCCCAAACCAATTTAGTTCTGAGAGACTTTATCTACTTCTGAAGGACAGCTGAGTGTCACTTCACATACTCTTTCCAGTCTTTCACCCCCCCATCCATAACTATGGATGAGAACAGCACCTATGTTTTTCCATCTGAACCTCCTCATCCTGCCAGGGCCATCGCTGTGCAGGTCCCCATCAAGGAGGTACCTCTCCTGGTACAAGCGCAACTGGCGCTTGTCGTCATCAAGCATCGCCTTCCTGGAGCAGGAGAAAGGGAGGAGGTTAGGCAGGTCACACCCAGGAGCCAGGACTTCACACACACACACACACACTTATACTGTCACTGACATGTGGAATTTCTGTATTTGATTTTCTAATTCCTCTTCATTAGGGAGCTCCTCATCAATAATCTCTTCTTCGTATTCATTCAGGTCTTCACCATCATACTCATCCTCGCTTCCCACATCACTCCCTGACAGCTCTGCCTCCTCTTCCATGAAATCCTGTAGTCTTCTGTAAAAGAACATTAAAAGAGTCCAGTTTGGTAGTAATCATCACACAGATCTTCTGAAAGTAAGATTTTTTTTTGACATAAACTTAAAACGTACCCTGAAAGAGAAACTATGATTAATCTTTCCTTTTTAAAGGACTAATCCTGGAGCTCCTGCCCATTCCAGGCACAGCCTCCCAACACACAACACCCCAAACCACTGGCATCCACCAGACCCCTCAACCAGTTGCCTACCACGTGATGGCAATAACTGCCAACTAGATGTTTTACTTACTAGAACACAAAGACCTTAAGACATGAGGGAGGGCAGCAGAACTGCATTATTTTGGTCAAAAAAGTGTTCATTGCTTTCACTGTGGCCTTTTGATTTCCATCTATAATGAGAACTCTGATGCAAATCCACTATGACCTCCCAGCAACACAGCTGAACTCATGCAACCTGACAGCACCAAAGCAAAAAACCAGCCAGAGCCAACACCACAGAAACTCTATTCCCTGCCCAGCATTAGAGGCTAATTACAGACTAAATTTCTAGTGCTATTAATATTTTATTCTGTCTGGCAATTAAGATACTAAAAAGATGTACTTACAGTTTCTTCTTCAAGCCCTGTCTATATCTCAGCAGTTGTTCTTCTTCATCACTTGTTTCTGCTTCTTCAGCATCACTGTCTCCATTTTTTTTGTCCTGGGAAAGATAAAGTTTTCAGAAATGCAGGAATTTCTGAACATGGATTGGTCTGTACTGGCAGCTGCTTCTGTGCTTCAGCCAAGAGCCACAGACTAAACCACCCCAGGCTTTGCCATGCTGAGATGCTTTACCCAGCACAGCTTAATATTAAGATGACATTTTAAAAGATCCAAACATTGCTCTTAAAATTAAGTGTGTCAACAGTTTGCTCTGGAAGACAGAGCATTTTGCATTGATGGTTACATAAAAAAAGCAAGGAGCCCTGTTAGTCAGAAGGCTGCAGCAGCTGCTCTGCTCCACCAGCCCATACCTCTTCGCTATCAAAGGCATTGTCATCTGTCACAAGCTGGAAGTCACCAAGTTCTTCCTGCTCCTCCTCATCTTCCTCTTCCCTAGAGGGGTAAGTAAATGAAAGAAATGCATGTTTTCATTTCACCTCAGTGATGGCCTCACAGTAATTCAAGGCAGGATTTCAACCATCAGGACAGTTTGTCTCACCTGTGGGTGCTCAAAAAGCTACAGTCTCTCCACAGCATTTAGCTCTGAATGCCCCAAATCCCCACTGACATTGATGGTTTAAGACCCCAGGTCTTCACTTGCAGAAACCACAGGGCAAGTATTAAACCTTAAGTTTCTTTTCTTCTAAAGTTCCTCCTGGAGCCCTCTAACATTCCCATTTGTTAAGCCTCATTGCCCTTTTGCCAGGCAGCCATACACTTTTCCAGCTTAACTGATGGAGAAAAGGCAAGTACTAATATTGGGCTATGACTCCTGTAGTTTGGCAACAGCCCAGAATAGAACCCAAAGTCCTACCTTCTAAAAACCTTTTCTCAGTTTGATGGCAATTCCTCAGCTCATGTCATTATAAGTGAAAAACAATTTCCTTTCCCAGTAGCTCAGTATATGCTGCTGACTGACTAACTGCTGAGCAATTTACAACACTCCTGCCTTTCATGTCCAAAAGGAACCACACTTTTGCTCACAGCATTTTCAATTGGTGTCAAACAAGAAAACACAACAAGAGTGAAAGGAGACAACTACCTCTATAAACTGTTGTAATTTTAGAGGGAACAATGCTAACCTGTCTGTGGGAAAGGAGCCTGAACAAAGTGCTAGAGCTTCTGCCATTGGATCTTCTGTATCACTGTCCTTTTCTGCCTTGGAAGATATAGAAGATGCCCATGTGGGAGAACCTGCTATAAAAAGTAATAAGATGGCAACTCATTAGATGTATTTATACTCTTGAGATGTCAGAGAGCACCCTAAAAATGACAGGTAGCATGTGCTCACAAAGGAGACAAAGTTCCACATTCCGCAATAGTTCCCAGAACTAAAGGGGATCTCAGCATAAAGCTTATGAATTTATATGACCAAAAAAGTTGTTCCATAAAACAGAATTCAGGACATACTCTGAGTCACAAATTTTCCTGAACAAAGATTCAGCAATTCTTCCATGTTCTGCTTTTTGTGGCTGCTGGTGCTTGGCACATGCTCAGCCTGGCTGCTGAACTTCCCAGAGCACAAGTCCAGTAGCTCATCCATGTTGGCATCCATGGCATTCTCATCCATACTAGCCAGAGTCAGCTGGTGCTTTGAGGACTGGTATTTATTCCTGTGTTGTCCAACATTCAAGAACCTGGAAGAAAGTATGTGGTTAGAAAAGTCATGCTGGTCTGCACACCCTGTTTGTGTTCAAGGGCACCAAACAGCACCTTTACACCTGCTACTTACCCATCCGCATCAAGCAGCTGACTCTGGGTGTCATCTTCCAAAGAAAATTGAAACTGTGACTCCCCAGCCCCTGGAAATAAACTCTTGGGCTCAGGAGAGGCATTATACAGGTCCTGGGAATCCTCGATGGGAAGAGAGGGCTCAGATGTCTTTCCTGAGCTCTAGTCAGAGGAGTATAAGAATATACAGGTTATTTGTTTTGCAAGCCTAGAACTCAAAAGCAAGAGTGGGATCAAACATTGAAGCTGTTTCAAAGGGTGAACACCATGCAGGAGCCAAGGATGTCCACACTGCTCTGATAAACCCTAGGAGCTCACTGACATCAGCTGCTGTGAGCCCATGGAAGTGTGCTTAAAAAAATAGTTGCAATGTATGTATTTTACACATTAAAACCAGATGATGGCATCTTTTCTTTGATGTTTTGAATACAATATAATATAAACTGTATCCATGCCAACGTGGAGATGTTTTAAACCCCAGGGACAGTTTATTTTTCTGAAACCTTACTCAGACAGAAGCATGTGGCTCCATGCCCTGTCCTGGTGGGGTTTTTTTTGACAGATCCAACAGTCAGAAAACACATTTATTCCCTGCCCCACAATGGGAACAGGACTGAGAACCTCACCTTGGAAGCAGAGCTGATAAAGCTGGTTTTGAAGAAACCTGGGGAAGGTGACCTGAAACCTCCTGCTGCAGACAAGAAGTTTCCCCCCCGTGACATCTGTTTGTTACAGGGCTGATAGGAGGGGATCATGGAGCCAATCAGTTCAAAGCTGCTGTTGTGGCTGCTCTCCTTTGCCAGGGTGGGCAGGGAAAAGGAATCCTCATACTCTGAAAAAAAAAAAATCATTAAATACAGTGCTTGACTTTTTTGTGATCCAGTAAAGCTTCAAGACACCTTGCTAAATGCTCACTATTTTCCTTGCTTGATGGAGGATGCAGGCACTTTTCCACTAATTGCATCTCATTGTTTTCTGTTTCTGTATTTTTTCCAGTATTAAGTTTTATTTTCCTCTAGTTTTTTCAAGCCCTTCCATTTTTCTTTCATCAGTCTAAACTTTTATAATCACACTGTACAACAACACAGGTGATGGAACAGCTAAAATATTGAATACTCATCTGAAATAGAGACTTCTACAGGTGACAGGTGAATAGATTGAGGATGAGTAAATGCTGCAGGGTTAGTTCTACCTCACCTAACTTGGTAGGCCCTTTGTCTGCAGCTTCTTCCATTTCAAGTTTCTCATCAGGAAGAGAGTATCTGCAAGTCAATAAATAACATGTATTAGCCAATGTAAATGCCATTTACCATGTTTTGAGCAATTAGGTTTTACAACAGATAATAGAGATTCATCTTTAAAGCTTGGTTTATTTACCCCATTTTTGAGGAACTGTCCTTGAAAAGCATTAATGTTGACTCTGTTGAAGGTGGTTTGGGAACAGAATCACAATGCACAGATTTCTCCAGCTTTTCTCCATCAACTGACTCTTTGTCAGTTTCTTTATCACCATCCTCTAGATGTTTCTCTTCTGTTTCTTCATTATCTTCCTCTGCTTCATCATGCAAAAATTCCATGTTCTAGAAAACATCCCACAGCAGAGATGTGGTTATTGCACAGAGATGTGATCACTGCTTTGACCCATCAACTCCCCTGCATAATTGTCAAGAAAACGTTTCAGCAAACAGAGGGTGAAGCTGAGTGACAATAACAGCTCTTACAGGCATCTATTCCACTCTGAGGAGCTGACACAGAGGTGCTTCAACCAGCCAAGCTGTTCTGGCCTTTTTTGAACAGCAAAGACCACAGCAAACCCTGCCTCACAAGCCAATATATTCCTATATAAAAAGAGAAAGTGGCACCAGAATCTTTTATACACTTGTGAGCTTTTTTTAATACTGTTTATAGAAAAGGAAAACACTAATAAATTCAGTTTTAGACAATCCAAACTCTGACCAAGCCAACTGCAGTTATTTTTTAGCATCTAGGAGGAACTCTTGGCAACTTCCCTAATATTAAGTGTACAAAGCTTACTTCATTGGAGAGATGCAGCAGATTTGAGAAGCTAAATAGGTAAAAATGTTGCACACAGACCTCATTGCCTTCTTCCTCTTCCTCAGATTCATCTGTCATCTCTTCCTCTTCCTCCTCCTCTTCCTCCAGCATGTCCTCATTATCCAGTTTAAACAGTGCTTGTCTCTTCTGGCGCTCCTCGGTCCTGCGCAGCTTCATGGCCTCCTGCAGCTTTGCCTTCAGAGCTTGTAGCTTCTCACCTGGGCATTCATTAATCAATTACTATATTAGGTGACTATAGTAAATCCTTAACTTCATTGCTTTCAAGCATTCAATCCAATGTGACTACACACATAAAAAGGGAATTCAAAATGACTGTTTTTATCTTTTTATGAGTTGATCTGCCAGCCAGAGGAGCTGGAGCTGCTGGTTTAAATGAGCTCAATTTAGTGACCTCACAATCTCATCAATTACCAGAATTCCTCATTATCAGCACACTGAATGAGGGTCTGTCTTTTGTGAATGAGAGCATCCAGTTGCCATAGCCAGATGTACTACAGCACATGAAATCATTAACAGCAGCTAAAAATAACGTGTGCCCACAGAATCAGCCAGATCATCTCCTTTTTAAAATGGATACTATGGGACAATCCCATTCCATGATAATTTTGTTTGCAAATCCATACAATGCTGAGAAACTGCAGTATAGAAATCAGGAGGTGTGAGAGATGGAATAAATAGCTCACAAGAAACCTGAGAGTTAAATTCAGAGGGCTGATGGAAAACTGCAGCATGGACACACGTTTATATAAAGTGCTGGTGCAAATGGGGAGAAATGTCTGTGGGGAGAGTGCAGTGAGGCTGTCCTGCCAGTGCTACCTAAGAGGTCTTACAGGGTTATTCAGCAGAGGGAAGATAATTACTAACTTTACAGGGGAAGATTCTTTCATCTGTATTTCACAGGGCACCACTGGGGAAGCAGGAATCACAGATTAAAAAAAAGACAGTGTTTTCCAATTCAGTCATGAACACTTCTCCTCCCAAACTGACCTGGCTTTGTGTGGGCTGTTTCATCCAGGCTCTCTGCAGCCAGCACTGCTGGCACCACATCTGCCTGCAGTTCCTAAATCTTTCCCTTCTGATGTTGTTTCCTTACGAACAATGTTCATGTTTATGGTCCGTTCACCTTTGGATTTGGACACTCCAAGAGTGTGTTTCAGGAAACGTGCTTTCAAGGCTTCCAGCTCTTTAAATATATGGCAATTAAATAACAAAATGCAAATTAAAATTAATTTGACAGCATTTAAAAGCATCAAGTGTTAAAGCTGTATCAAGAGTAGGTGTTGAGAGTAACTTTTTTTCTAGAGGAAGTTACTTTAAAACTCTAAATCTTTAATATGAAAACATTTGCACAACCATGCTATTTTACTAATAAAACAATAAACCACTACAGAATATTTTTTTCTCTAACTTGCATCTAACCAGTAATAGCTAATATTACATCACCTTATCCACAAGAAGATGGGTACCAACATTACACAAAGAATCCGTACTGGGAAGAGAACACTCCTGACTGCTCTGTCACCTGAACACCTCCCAGAGATGCTCCAGTTAAAATCAGGTTAACTCTGCTCACTAGGACAGACCTGACAGGACTACAAGAAGAGATGAGTTACCTTTATTTGAATCAGACTCATCAAGGTTTATAAAGGATTGGTTGTCAGAGCAGATTCTTGGCTGGATGGACAGGTCTATTCCCAGCTCACGAAGTTTATCCAGCTTGGACTTCTTCACTTTTTCAGGCTGTGGCACCAACCCAGGCCCCCCTTGATTGCTTTTTTCACAGGCTGTGTCTGGTGCTGTTTGGTCTCTTTGCTCAAGGACACCTCCCTCAGCTGCCAGAGGAATTTCATTCTCTTGCTCTTCACCACAGTCAGTGCTGGGGAGGTTGGAGGACTCTTCTGAATCACCATCAGCTGCTGCAGTCCTGACTGTGCTGGAGTCATCACTGTCCTGCCTGGGCTTTCCATCACTGTCTTCTGTCAAGTTCTCCCCTACATCAGCAAGAGGCTTGTTCACAGTAGTATCAACATCTCTGCCAAGGCTCGTTCCTGCTTCATTAGCTGCTGACTGACCACCTTCTGTTTTCCCATCCTTGCAATCTGTGCTCACATTCTTGGTGTCTGCAGGTTCTTCAGTTGGGGGCAGCTGGTATTTAGTGGACCTGATGAAGGCAGAAACAAATACATCACCCATGGCTGTTGTGGAAGGGGAGAAGAGGGTGGGAACAAACTGGGAGAGAAAGGAATCACCTTCTCATTACTGTCATTAGTGTGTAGGAAGAGGTAAAGTACAGAAGTCTGGAAAACTTCATTTCAGGACGCAAGGAAGGGCAGAGCAGCATAAAGTGTTTGTACTGATTAGTTACATTATAACAGTATAAAAGTTCTGAGAGGCCTGAACTACAGTAGCTTATTTTACTACACATTACTCAAAAGCAGAAATAGCCCAAGTAAAATGTTGGGGTCCAGACTATACCTCTGCATGAGCACATTACTCCATCTGGAGTCACTCCTAGTTCCTTCAGTGGTACAACTGTGCCAGGAGTGCAGCACTGCCTTGTGTAACAGACACCCCTCCCTGCCAGCTGCTCAGGGAGTTCAAGGAGCCTAAGAAAGTTTCTCAACAAAACTTCCCAGTCAAAGCAACAGCTAAAATTAAACCAGGAGGAAGCAGTGACTGCAGAGAGAGCAGGTGTGTGCACCACACAACACCTGCAGCAGATAGAAGTGTTTCTCCTCAAAAGCAGAGTTAGGATACCCTCAGAATTGGTAAGGAAGCCCGGGGAGGGTTGGAGCCCTTACTTCAGCAGTGCCATGGCATTTCCCTGCCACGCCGGCCGAGGTCTGCGCTTGTAGAAGTCATGAACACTTTTGGCCTCAGGCACATGATATGGGAGAGACACAGATGATTCTGCCAAAGAAAGGAGGGGAAAGGAAATGTAAAACCTCACTGGAGGTGTTTGAGATCTCTGAAATCCAACGAACCTCAACAGAAGTATTTTGCAGCAAAGACACCTAACAAGGCACCAACTGCACAACTTGAACCTGAACACAGCAAACACTGCTGTCTGGGAAAGATTTCCAGCAGCAACACATCCATGCATGCAACAGGAAATGAACAGTGAGGTTCAGAATGGCAGGACCAGTTTCAATTTTATCACATGCCTGTCAAACTGAGTACTGCACTAACTTTACACAACAGGTTTACAGGCTCAAGTGTTTGCACAATTTTTATTTACCATTAGTTACAAAGATACCTCTTAAGAGGTTCTTGAATAAAAATAGTCTTGCAGCCTTCAACCCTAAATAACATGCAAGGTGAGAGGCAGCTGTAGCCTTTCAGGTAAATTATTTAAATGTCTCCTCTGAATTGCTCAATAGTTTATACCCCTCTGCATACAAAGAATTTAATTTTTACCTCTAATAAGTCTTTGGGTCTCACTATGTAGCTGCTTAATGGCTTCTTTACTTAACCTTGCTGCTTTTCGTTCCTTAAGGAAAAAAAAGAAAGGTTTCTCAGGTCAGGAAACAGAATATGGGACTTTACCTGTACTTTCTAAATAGCTTATTCTTCCCTTCCAAGCAACAAAGAGTCAGAATAAAGTCGCAAGTTAAAAAAAAGATTAACAATAGCAAATCAAGAAAGCCTTTGGACAGTGTGCACACAAAAGCATTTGAATCACTGCAACAAACAATGGAGAGGCTTAAAAAAAAGAATCCTTCACCTTTCTTTTTGGTTCTTTCAATGCAGGTTCCTCCTCCTCAAAGACATGTTTGCAGCCTTCACCCTCAGGAAACCTTTCTTTGTTCTAAAAATCCATAAAAAGAGATTCACCTCTTTGTCTAGACACACAGGCACTACTGAGGGCAAACAAGCCAAAAAATAATGGTACAGGATCATCACTGGTCAGCAGAACCAGGTACTCCCCTAAAGCAACACAAACCCTGCACACTCCTCCTGGCATATTTCCAAAGCTTCTGCTTGTCTTTATAAACATCCAGGACAACATCCCTTTAAGCACAAAGATCAGGGGATATTCTCCCCTCTGTCACAGCAGGAGGAATGCACCATTCCCCAAAAGGGTTTCAGTTCATGCTCTGCTACCCAGCTTTCCACTAACAACCAAAAATTCTTCATCCCTACCAGATGTTACCTTGTGTTTTTTTATTTTGCTCTTCACTGCTGCTCGTATTGATTCTATCGACTCCTCATCCTCGGGGGGGGAATCGTCCTCCTCTTCTAAGCCATTATCAAAAAGCTCTTTGTCATCAAGAAGGCACCCACTGTCATTCAAAGGAAGCCTCTCACCACCATCTGCCTGCTCACCACAGGAATAAAACATTCGTGTCACTCATTTCAGAAGGTCCCCTCCAGTCCTTTCACATCCAGAGGTTCAGACCAGCTTTGACTGAGCGTTTTGTGTCCTGACCAGTCCCACCCACTGCAGAGCAGTGCCAGGCTGATGGAGCAGTGCTCCCTGTGCCTCTGGTAACTTGGGAATAACTACTGAAGACCAAAATGGCTCTGACAGAGTCAATTAACACCCAAAATATGCATTTTATAAATAACAATACACAGCCCCACAAGCAGCCATTTATTTAGACCAGAACTCCAATTTTCAAGCAGCCCAAAAGCTGGGACAGCCCTCAGAGCTGTTTGTGCCTGTGACAAACCAGCAATGAGCCCAGACACCTCAGACAATTCCTGCTTAAATCATCAAGTCTCAGGACTTGTGCTCTCTCTGCAGGTGAAACAGGCAGACTCTGGTGTCCCGTGGATCCCTGGGGATACCACACCTGCTGTGGGAATGTGGGCACAAGCACCCCGAACCATGGGAACACAATAACCAAACGTAGCAATAAATGTAACTTGGTCAGGAAAACATCTGAGTCTTCCTGTCAAAACACATACCTCTGCTCTAGGCTTCTTTTCTTTTTTCAGCTGTTTAATGAACTCAATTTTCCGCTCCTTCTGCTTCCTTCTTCTT